GTATTCTTTGAAGGGCTAGTTTTGTGGACATGTATTCTTTCAGGCTATTCATGTCATGGAAGATTTTTCTTTCCCCCTCAACTATAATAGACATTTTTGCTGGATAAAGTATTCTGGTCTGGCATCTACTGTCATGAGAACTGGAAATAGTTTGGTTCAGGTTCTTCTGGCTTCCATAGTTTGCATTGATAAGTCAGCTGTAATTCCAATGGGCTTTCCTTTGTATGTGACTTGTTTTTCTTTTGCTGCTTTCAGTATTCTCTCTTTGTTCTGTACATTTAGTGTTTTTACTATGACATGCTGTGGGGAGTTTCTTTTCTGATCCTGTCTATTCAGTGTTTTATGTGCTTTCTGTATTTGTATGGGGATGTCTTTCCTTAATTTCAGGAAATTCTCTTCTATAATCCTGTTTAAGATCTGGTCAATACTATTAACCTGAAATTCTTCCCTTCTTCTGTGCCTATGATATGTAGATTTGGTCTTTTCATGGTGTCCCACATCGCTTGCTGTTGTTTCAAGTTGGCTTATTGAGTTTTCCACTTCCATCTTCATTTCTGCCTGAGTTTTCTTCAATGTTTCCATCTCTTTTGTGAATTTATTCAGAAGTTTATCCCTATCTTCTTTTAGTTTTTTGATTTGTTTGTTCATGTGTTCTTTAAATTCATTGAATTCCTTGATCATGTTTATGACCGTTCTTTTAAATTTTGTGTTCTGGGTTATCTCTAGGGGGTTTTCCTTGTAGAACTCTTCTACAGGACTGGTGGAATTTGGTGGGGACATAGTATTTTGGCTTCCATTTTCTTATTCCTTCATTGTGATTTTGGCATGTGAATTTCTTTTGTTGTTTGAGATCTGATATGAGAATTAAGTTGAAGTTTTCTTCTGTTTGTATTATTGGTGTGCCTTGGTCCTTTTCTTATTCATTATGTAAAGCTGGTTGGTCCAGGTTTCAGGTTTTCTCAGGTTTTATTTTGGAGGGAACTGATGGCCTCAGATCAGCTACTCAGGAGCACCCACAGATGCCCAAGTCAGGTTCCAGTCAGGTACACTCAGGCTTCCTTCTAGGGTTTGGACCCCTACTAGTGAGAACTCAGAGCAAAACTTGGGGAGTTCCCTAAGGGGGAGGCCGATTTTGGGCCTCTCAGTTGGTCTGCTGTATTCTAAGCCCCTATGCCAGAGGGAAGCCAGAGCCAGCACTTTCTGGCAGTCTGCTGAGATGATAGCCACTAGACCGGTGGAGGTTGGAACTCGCCCTCTCAGGCTGTCTGCTAAGATCTCAGCCTTATCCTACCAAAGCTCGCTCTTTCCTGGGGCCTTGGGAGGGGCCTCACACAATCCCTGTTAGGGGTTGGGTACAGCGCAATTAGGAGAAGCTCACCACCATGTGGAGGCAGGATCCAGGTACTCTCAGGCAGTCCCCTGCATTCTCAGCCCCTATACCAAAGGGAGGCCAGAACTGGCCCTCTCTGGCGGTCTGCTGAGATCACAGTCGCTAGACCTTAAAGGAATTATTTAATAGATTAGTTTCACAATGTTTTAGCTTTTAGAAGAAGGGTGGGATCTTATAGGTTGAATTTACTGCTGGGAGGCAAACCCATGGCTTCCAGGCTCCCTGTGTGGCCCCCTCCTCCCACTGTCCTTACAACATCAAGAAAATGTTCCTCCAAATTACAGTTTAGGAAACAACAGGATTTATTGGGCTGCTAACTGAGTATATGATGGTGATGAAGGGGTACTTACAAAGGTATGGGTACCCTTAAGCCTTTTTTTTCCTACATTCCAGCTCAGCCATGGCTTTCTGAACTGCTGCTGGCCAGTCCAAGATGGTGAAGCTTCCTTCACCCCTCTGCCTTCCCCTCTGTCTATCCTTAGTCCCTCCCCCTCATGCAGTTAAGGCTGACTGATTGGGTAGGAGGGGTGACTGTCTCCTTCTGCCCCTCCCTTCCTACAGAGAGTCTTATAGTCCAGTTATTCAAAGCAAATAGGTAAGAAGCTAGAGAAGAAGGCATCTATCTATTTGCTTGCCAGTCTGGCTTGCTACTGGGAGGACAAGCTTATCCAACAGGTCTAAATATGTGAAATGAGACAGTATGTGCATACTTACATTTAAAATCACCATTTTAAACGGGGATATGTATTGTAAAAGCATCCTGAAAGGATAAACAGCTGGCCAGGCATATGAGAAGCTGAACAGCAGTCTACTCCATAGCAATGGTTTTTACTCTTTAAAGGCAAGTTGGGAAGCAGAGAATATTCATGTATGACTTTAGGGAAATCTGTGTAGAATTTAATTTTTAGACTATTGAACAGAAACTTTTACCAAAACCTTTACTTTTATTTATAATATTAGATTTTGTATTT